AAAGAAGTTGATGAATGAGCCCACCACCGATGCGTGGAATAAATTGCATCAGTCAACGCCAATGAGGAAGCTGAGGAGAGGGCACATAGGAGGCAGATGGAAGCTCAAATATTGCAGCTCTGGTTACTGGGGCAGCAAAAGCAGCTTCCCCATCCAGTGAGTCTAACCTCCCCCCCCAAATAAAAGGGAGTGGGAGAAAGTCACTCAATGTATAAAGAAACTGACTGTATAGAACTGTGTCGACCTTTGAGAGACTGTGGGATGCACAATATCCCAGTGCATACAGATGTATGTCCTCTTGTGACATTAGCCTCGGTACACTCTGGACTGCTGAATAGATGTTGCCTGAGTTCTCCAACCCAGGATGCCTTTTACACTGCTTTACTGGTGAACAGCCACTCTTGGCCAGTCAATGTGCAGCCTCCAGCATGTAACTTGCTCCCAGCTGCACAGTATTGAGCACATCTCTAGATGCGACAAACATGGTGGCACATTCCATGGCTTCTGCCATAGTTACGCATCTGGCTTCATGGCTTCACTTGTCCAGCTTCCTAAGGGAGGTACAATCGACAGTAGAGGATATCCCCTTTGACGGGCTGAAGTTGTTTGCCGCAAAGACCGACCAGTCCTTTCACATCTTGAAGGATGCTAGGGCAACCCTTCGTTCCCTTGGGATATACACATCTGCACAGAGAAGAATTAAAAAAGGGAAATACTATTCAACCCAGCATGCAATATCTGCCCCACGTGCTCAACAACAGAGACAATACGATACACACAAGTGCAGACAGAGACCTCTAAGGGGACAACCACTCCCTGCTCAATCGTCGGCATACAAGCAACCCTCTGCAAAACAACAATTTTGAAAGTTTGGTCAAGGGCCCAAGAGACTGCACCCATTCCTCAGTGCTGACACCATTACTGATCTTCCCCCGTTTTGGACATCTTTTGACCCCTTTCTGCTCAGATGGAAGACCATCACCACGAACAAGTGGGTTCTAGAAATAATCAACACAGGTTATTTGATACCATTCACCTCCATCCCCCCTCTATCTCCTACATTTGGCTCTGTGAAATCTGTACCATCACAACACAGAAGGGAGGGCTTTTATTCGCACTACTGCTTAACCCGGAAAAAGAACAGAGGATGGAGACCTATTCTTGACCTCAGGAAACTCAACAAATTCGTAAAGGTCCAATGGTTCAGGATGTCACAATAGCAACAATAATACCAGCACTGGAATGGGTGGATTGGTTCTCAGCCCTCAACATCCAAGATGCCTATTTTCATGTAACTATAAATCCTGCTCACAGGAGCTTCTGTAGATTTGTGTCTGTGTCTCCTGGAAACTTAAGTGACCTCAATTTTCTATAGGCTGTGTAAATTCCCTTTATACTCATTCGCATTGACGCACAACCTGTATCCTGTGGTTAAGACACGTTGGAGACAGTTGCGCCTTTACAGTATTTTTATGATCTAATATTAAACTTCCGGGTAATTTTGCGCAATATTACCACCACTTGTTACCTCTCTTCCCATAATCTTAGGATATCAGTTTATTTTCCAATCACTTATGTCATCATTTCTTGTCTCCAAGGCCTAAAATAGCTAAGCTAAAGTCTTGCAGGCCTTAGCCTACAGGTTCTTGCATTTCAGCTTGTCTTACTTATATCTACTACATGGTTCCTCTAAATACTGATCAATCTTATAGTTTTATAATCCTACTAATTAACTCTAACATATAATGAATATATGCTATAACATGTTGATTAATCACAACATCACACAGTAAATGAACAATAAACTAAAATCATTGGCTACAAAGGTAATATTTGTATTGTGAGTGCTCTGTGGCTGTAAATCACCAGACAGGAGATAGACATTAACTAGTATAAAGCTGTCTCCAACAGTAAGTGTTATGTCCTGGCCAGTGAGGAAGGCCCTTCGAACTCAGATGGACTATCCTTGAACATTAAAGAGCATAATACTGTGTTGTTCTGCTCTTACTCCCCCTCCCCATGAAATGAAATTAGCCCTAAAGGATGTATAGAGCTTGCTTATCATAGAAGATTCTATGACTTGGAAAACGTAAGGTAGTAACTCATTTGTGTACACATGTTAACCTGTTTTAACCTTGTAAATAACTCTTCCTTGTCCTATTAATACATCCGTGTATAGTTTATTATAGGATTGGATACAAGCTGTTGTCTTTGGTGTGAGATCTAATGTGCAATTTGTGATGCTGACAGACCAGGTGCCAGTTTAGCCAAAGCCCCAGGCCTCATTGAACATTTACAAATGCATAGCTGGCAGCCAGGCCAATTCACTTGTGTATTAGTATAGATCAAAGTGATTGTTAAATGTATAAGAATGTATTTCATGTTTAAACGTCATGAAAATGAATGAGATGTTACATGAATTGTTTTCATTTTTCTGTATCCTGTTATAATGTAATAACAAACATTTACATCGTATGTACCCCATAATTAAATAATCCATCAAATGAGAAATAAGCCTAATTAAGAAGTACACCTCTACCCCGATATAACGCGACCTGATATAACATGAATTCGAATATAACATGGTAAAGCAGTGCTCCGGGGGGGCGGATGGGGGGCTACGCACTCCGGCGGATCAAAGCAAGTTCGATATAACGCGGTTTCACCTATAACGCGGTAAGATTTTTGGCTCCCAAGAACAGCGTTATATTGGGGTAGAGGTGTATTAATTCTTATGCATTTGAAGGCAAGTGGTCATTGTGTGTGTATCATCTCTGAGCATATTTTCCTGAATTACTATAGCCACCCCAGTTTCTTGTCTCCCTCTGATAATAAGACGGAGCTACATTTTTAAAAGAAACGTGGGCACTCAATTTTATCATGATGTAGGTGAGATGGTGTGAGGCTGGCAGTGTGTTAGCATTATTAAAATATATATTAGATGTTAAGTTAATAAGAATGTGTTTTAGTGTTTTATAAAATGCTTGTAGGATGCTGCATGTATTGTTCTTGCTCAGTTTAGTATCATCTGCAAACTTTGCCACCTCACTGTTTACCCCTTTCTCCAGATCATTTATGAATAAGTTGAATAGGATCGGTCCGAGGACTGATCCTTGGGGAACACCACTAGTTACCCCTCTCCATTCTGAGAATTTACCATTTATTCCTACCCTTTGTTCCCTGTCTTTTAACCAGTTCTCAATCCATGAAAGGACCTTCCCTTTTATCCCATGGCAGATTAATTTACATAAGAGCCTTTGGTGAGGGACCTTGTCAAAGGCTTTCTGGAAATCTATGTCCACTGGATCCCCCTTGTCCACATGTTTGTTGACCCCTTCAAAGAATTTTAATAGATTAGTAAGACACAATTTCCCTTTACACAAACCACGTTGACTATTGCTCAACAGTTTGTTTTTCTATGTGTCGGACAATTTTATTCTTAACTATTGTTTCGACTAATTTGCCCAGTACAGACGTTAGACTTACCAGTCTGTAATTGCCAGGATCACCTCTAGAGCCCTTTTTAAATATTGGCGTTACATTAGCTAACTTCCAGCCATTGGGTACAGAAGCCGATTTAAAGGACAGGTTACAAACCTTAGTTAACTCTTCCGCAACTTCACATTTGAGTTCTTTCAGAACTCTTGGGTGAATGCCATCTGGTCCTGGTGACTTGTTACTGTTAAGTTTATCAATTAATTCCAAAACCTCCTCTCGTGACACTTCAATCCGTGACAGTTCCTCAGATTTGTCACCTACAAAAGCCAGCTCAGGTTTGGGAATCTCCTTAACATCCTCAGCCGTGAAGATTGAAGCAAAGAATCCATTTAGTTTCTCCGCAATGACGTTATCGTCTTTAAGTGCTCCTTTTGTATCTCGATCATTAAGGGGCCCCACTGGTTGTTTAGCAGGCTTCCTGCTTCTGATGTACTTAAAAAACATTTTGTTATTACCTTTTGCTGGAAATGGGCCATTTTCATTACCACTACAAAGAGTTTTTTTTCTCTCCTGCTGATAAAAGCTCACCTTAACTGATCACTCTCCTTATAGTGTGTATAGTAACACCGATTGTTTCATGTTCTCTGTGTGTG